CCATTGTGCCAAAATTTTTGTAAAGCGCAAATTATTAAACACTTTTATAATACCTTTTTCACAGAAGTTAGGTCCGTTCATCGCGACTTTTTTTGTTTTTGATATGAGGTTTTGGGTCGAAACTACCTATTTTTCAGATTGAAATTTTTTTTTTTTTTTTGATTGAATTAATATTTGATCATTTGCAAGATAGTTATTCAACTGATTATTTTCTGGTATTTTTTGTACTAATTCATACTTTTTACCGTGCTTAATTTTGTCGGTATATCTATAGGAGCTCGATGGAGAAGACGTGAGACTAGCTGACTATTTTGATGTGGTAGCCGGAACTAGTACCGGTGGTCTCATGACCGCCATGTTAACCGTACCGGACGAGACCGGTCGACCTCATTTTGCGGCCAAAGACATTGTTCCTTTTTATCTTGAACATTCTCCCAAGATATTTCCGCAGCCCGAGTAAGAAAATAATATATATATGTAGCGTTATGTATATTTTTTTTGAAAAAGAGTAGCGTCATAAAATAAATACTAATTAAAAACTTACAATAATTGGATCTTGATTGGTGTTCTTAAAATGCAGAGGTTTGTTTGCTCTGTTACCTAAGCTTCCAAAGCTCCTTTCTGGTCCAAAATACGACGGAAAATATCTGAAAACTCTACTAAGTAAGTTTCTTGGAGAGACAAGACTTCACCAGACACTAACAAATGTTGTAATACCTACCTTCGACATCAAGAAACTTCAACCCACCATCTTCTCCTCTTACCAGGTAATTTGCTCATAGAGTCATGAAAATATAAAGTTATTATTTCCTACTTGATGATTCTAACATCACTAGTTTATCTTTTTTGTGGTGTTTGAAGTTATCAGTTGACCCTAGCCTGGACGTCAAGTTAACAGACATATGTATTGGCACATCGGCTGCTCCTACTTTCTTTCCTCCTCATTACTTTTCCAATGAAGATAGTCAAGGCAAGAAGTCTGAGTTTCACCTCATTGATGGCGGGATCACTGCTAGTAACCCGGTAAAAACACAATCCTCTTAGTATTTCTTAGATATTGTCAATATAGAAGAGAATATACAAAAACAAAATTTGACCAACATTATTTAATTTAGCAGGTTGAACATTACAAATTTATAGAAAATTTAGATTGCTAGGTGTTAAGACATATATTCTCTCCATAGATATTCTTTATGGAGAAAATCGAGCAGAACTAATTCTCGTATATGCTTTATTCTGTTTGGTTTTTTTATATATAGACTCTGGTGGCCATCACTGCTGTGTCTAAGCAGATTGTGAAGAAAAATCCGGACATGGGTAAGCTCAAGCCATTAGGTTACGACAAGTTCCTTGTTATATCGGTAGGAACAGGTTCTGCAAAAAAAGAGGCAAAGTACAGCGCAAAAAACGCTGCAAAATGGGGAATCATATCTTGGTTATATGACGATGGATCTACTCCGATATTAGACATTACCATGGAATCAAGCCGCGACATGATCCATTTCCACAGCTCTGTTCTGTTCAAAGCTTTACAATCCGAAGACAAGTACCTTAGAATCGACGTAAGAGCTATGGATAAACACATATATGTCCATATTTTTGTGATTGATTGTTTGATTTACGAGATTTATATGTGTGAAAATCGATTGCAGGATGATACATTGGAAGGAGATGCAACCTCTATGGATCTTGCGACAAAACCTAACTTAGAGAATCTTGTGAAGATTGGAGAGAAGATGCTGAAAAACAGAGTCATGCAAATGAACATCGACACTGGCGTATATGAACCAATTCCTGAAAATGTCACCAATGATCAAGAACTCAAAAGGTGATTAATTCCTTATATGTATAAATTTCATATTTTGTTATTGTGTTTCTTGATTTGCAGGTAATCTCATTTTTTGGTACTTGTTAATGCAGGTTTGCAAAAATTCTATCGGATGAAAGGAAATTAAGGAGAGAGAGAGAAGCGACACAATGATTAAAGATTCATCAAACTAAGCATTAAAGACAATAAACTATGTGTGTTTCGCTCGGCGATCTCTCTTGACGCCTTGTTGATTTTTTATTTATTTGTGTGCTTATTTTACGGTAACAGAAAAAGATGATTGCTCTAATGTATTATCTTTAAAGATCTGTTGAGAAGAAAACAAG